AAGCAAAAATTAAAACAGTGTTATAGTTTTTTAGATGTAGGGAATGTGAAATAGGACAGGTATGTATCCTACAATTAGGCAGAAATGATTGACTTCGCACTATTTGCCCCAATATAACACCTTCTATTTTCAGATAGTTCAGCAGCTGAGTATGGTCCTAATTTATAAAACTTCCTAAATTTGGGAGGTAAGGATGACAAGATCTGCAAGTCTCAGAATAAACCCCTTTGAATGAAACCAGATTTGCTTCTGAGTAAATGAGTGTAGGGTTGAAACTCACTCTGATTAGAGCAATGCACTCTGCAGGAGAGTTGATGTGTTTCCCATGAAGTAAACCCCACTTCATTGAGAATGAATTCTCTAATTATGCCTAGGACTACACGTACTCTTAAATTAAAAGGAACACCAATTATATTTTTGGCCAGGGTTAATTTGCTTTGGTTTTAACTGTTTTTGTGTTTGGCATTTTCTTTAGAAGGAGGATTAGAATTATGTAGCCATGTTGAGGTTTTTTTATGGTTGAAAAGGCAGGACGCAAATCCGAAAATGAAATATATCACCATTTTTGAGGTTTCTTTTCTCAAATATGGAAGCTTTATGCTGAATCACAGTGAGTCCTGCCAGGTCACCGGCTAACCTATCTGTTTCAAAACAGGTATAACTATGGACCAAGAAACTTGAGTAGAGTGATGAAGGCAGGAGCTAAGTCTCTAAGCAAGATCCTAAATTGAAGAAGCAGAAGGGAGAAAGCAATTTAAACTCCAAAAGCCAAAGGTTCTGCAGCAACACTAGCCAGAGTCCCCCCATTTTTCTAGATTCTGAAAAATCAATTTTCTACAGTCACGGGTTGAAAACATTTGTGCTGAAATTGTTTTGAAGCTTGGGAATGGACAGCTTTGCAAATCAATAGTCCAGTTGGAAGAAGAAGGTTCCATTTGTGGCTCTTAAGGTGGCCATCCATGACAGAGCAGCAGTTGACACCATCTGTGGAAGAAAGATGTGTGTGTGTGTGTGTGTGTGTGTGTGTGTGTAATTATTTGGGGAGAGGGAAAGAGAGAGATTAGGTAAATTTTATTGAACAATTTTTTAAAGAAAGAACCATAAGACAGCAACTTTAACACTTGTGGACTTAAAGTCCCAGAATTCCTCAGCACAACCCTATAGCACAAGAGTTGTGTTTCCAGAAATCCTCATGCCATGCAAAATCATTTGTTGTTGTTGGGAGTTCTGCAGATACTGCTCACACTTCCTCTTTTATTATGATAAAACTTGACACTGATCTCTTCTTCATTTGCTCTTCTGTCCAAATACATAATAGATGTTTACTTGTAAATACAAGTAAAATACTTTACTTGTATTTACAAATACAAGTAAAGATGTCCAGTTCTTTACTTATTTTTCCTATTTATTTGGTAGCACTTGAATTGTTCTTGCTAAAAACTTCCTTTAATTTTCTCAGCATTTATTCTGATCGTCTGTAGCGCCACCTCATTTAACCTAGTAGCACATGTGTCTTTCCAGAAGCTCCATTTCAGCCTGCAATGGGCTAGGGGAGGCCCGCGGAGGGCCGAACAGACTGTTGGAGGGGCAGGACAAATGTTGCAGAGCCTCTGCAGTTATTCATAAGGGCAAACAACTGACATGTTGCTGCAAGATTCGTAGTTTCAGACCTTGTTCACAAACACTAAGGGACGCTTATCACGTAAGTTCGAACGTTCGCTAAGGGAACACTCATAGCCTGGGGATTACCAGTATTTTTATTTTTTTTTTGTACATTTACTCTTTCTGGCAGAAAAAAGCACTGGTTGTTAATCATCTTGTTGTATAGGTACTTCAGCAAACAGCAAAGAACTATGCAAAACCGATAGCTCCAGGGCAACAATAATAGAAGGGACATGAAAGTCACTGATCTGGACAGTGATGGTATCAAGGTCTTTATTTGTGTAGTGAGAGGTGCTTATCAGACAAACAGACTTCACCTCCTCAAGTAATGAGAATTCAGATTATTATTTAATATATGCTGCTTTTTTGTGTGTGCATGTTTGGACTAATCTACTTCTAGTCCTCAATTGATTATCATAGTTGGGACCAGAATTTCCATCATAAGTCAATGTGGTCATAAAGACAATTTTATCACATGACCTGATTCCAATATTACTATGATCATTAAATGCATCACACAGTCGTTAAGGGAAACTAGCTTCCCCAATTGACATTGCTTGTCAGAAATCAGCTGGGAAGATCATAAATTGCGATCACACAACCACAGGATGCTGCAACCTGTCATAAATGCAAGCCAGTTGCCCAAATTGCAACTATCATAAATTACGAGGGCAGATTATAAATCACTTTTTCTGAGACTGTGGTAACTTTGAACCATCATTAAATGGAATAGCCAAAAATCTAAGACTACCTGGATAACACTTCTTATACCACTTTTAATTCCTGCCTTACATGCTTCTCAGTCAGAAAAAGACAAAGGAGATACCACTGAAGGAAACTCTCAAGGACAAAAACTACAGTTAGTGAAGAAAGAGTAGGAAGTTGCTGGATCAACACCTGAACAGAATTATTAAAAACAAATTTAGCCAACAGAAGAATTACTGTTAGAACTTAAGTGCAAGACCATGTTCCCAGCACATCTGATAGAATATGTATTCTTTCCTCATGAAAGAACATTCTACTCTGGTGGCTGTTTTGATGAAAGGGCATTGTTCACTAAATTGTTTTAACCATGTCTGGACAAAGTTACCACATAACTTCTCCATCTATAACCATTCCCATAAGGCTGGTTGAAGGAGGGCTGCAGCATTTTCATGTGTCTCTTCCTAACAACTTAGCAGTTCAGCTGTAACCAAGGCACAATTATAGGTCAATTGCTATAAGGAAAATAGAGACCAAAGTTTATATTTGCACTTTAGAACAGATTTGACACACTTTTCTATAGGGGTTTCTTGTTCTGACAATAGAAAAACCTTCATTGTGCCCCAAAAAAGAAAAATGGCCAGATCACCAGATGAAAAAAAAAATATCTTCAGCTTGCTCAAGATTTACTGCAGAAGATGTCATGTAATATTAAAGAGGTCAAGTCTTTCAGAAGGAAATACATTTTTGCAGACATAACTTGATTTTGGAATCCAAGTCCTAGCCTCTACTTTAATCAGACTGGTTTCTAAGCACCAAGCTGCATTAGGAACTCAAGTTGCCTCTGAGAAAAGCGTTTGTAAAAATTTGGGCTGAACTTTTGTCAGTTGAACACAGCTGTGGAAAGGACAAAACAGGGTCTCAGGGGCAAGAGTAAAACTCATGAAACTGTTATAGTGATTTTCTGCCATAGGATTTTATGCTTAACAATCTTAAGAAACGTTTCCCAATGCTCTACTTGACTTATGACCAAATTGGGACCTGAATTTCCATTACTAAGTGGGGCAATTGTTAAGTGAATCATGGCCAATGTATGATCTTTTTTTGCTGCAGTTGTTAAATGAATCACCCAGTTGTTAAACAAATGTGACTTTCCCACTGACTTTGTCAGCTAGGAAAATTGCAAATGGCAATCACATGTCCCAGTATTCTGCAACTGTCATAAATACATGCTAGTTGCCAAGCAGACAAATTTTGATCATGTGATCATGAGGATGCTGTGACAGTAGTAAGTGCAAGGATTAGTTGTAAATTGCTTTTTTTACAACATCATAGTAACTTCAGATGATCATTAAATAAATGGTCATAAGTCAAGGACTTCCTGTAGATTCCAATCTAGCATAGGAGTAAACATTTTTTGATAACCAGGGCCTACATTCAACATTACAGTAAATTAGGGATGAAATGATACAGTTCTAGAAAATTGATGAGGCCGAGGCACACACAAGACTTTATGAAGTTTTGTTTTAGTTTTTGCAGGAGTTTAATTAGTTTTATTAAGCCTGTTTTACACTGCAATTTCATGTTTCCATTTCAAAATTATAGACAACCATCAATTTTGGCAGCCGTATTACTAAAACTGAATAGCTGGTTCAAGGCAGTCTCAGAGGATAAATAAGTAGGTACAGGCCACAGATTTCTCACACTGATGCAATAGATCATCCCCTTAGTATTTCCTTTTAAAGGTTCTTTAAGACCAAAAAAAAACAAAAAAAGGAACAGTGGTAAGAGGAAAGAGGAAGCCTGAACTATGTGGGAGAATAAGGCTTGGGGCAGAGAAAATTAGATTAATATCCAATACAAAAACTAAAATAAGGAATTGGTTTACTTAAGTCTGAGAAAGTTGAAACTAAAAGTCCTGTAACATTTTGAAAAAATGATTTGTACTTCTTTAGAAGATGTCTTTAAGCTTCACACTCTTCTGCTGTCAGTAATTATTCTTTCATCTGTTACTTTAAAAATCATTTTTTCTCCTTTTAATTAGAGTTTTTATATTTATTTTCCATGTGAAACACATTGGATACTGTAGAGATGGAACTGGGAATAAAGTCTGGTGACTGTACCAGAACTGTAGATAACTGAATGAGAATAGGGATGAATCTTCAGTCTGTTCCCAAAAACATCTTAAAGGTCATCATTTTCCTGTTCAACTTCCTGCTGCAAGTTTCAGTCTTATAACTCTTCCTGGCAAAAGTAAGATTTTCATCCAGCCTTTTTTTCTTCGTACACAATTCAGGGTTGCAAACATACCAAAACTCCTTCCTCCTCCTATTTTCCTCACAGCAATGAAATGAATTGGGCTGCTAGAGAGTGACTAGCCCAAAGTCATCCAGCCAGTTTTTCATTCTTGGGATTAGAACTCACGGTCTCCTGGTTTCTATGTCATCACATCTTAAACAATTAACTAATTGTTTTTAGTGCTAGTTTTACAGAAGATAGAATTTCATTGGCTGTCTTGATTGTTCAAAAGTGTATGTACTGTATGTATGCATGTGTGCATGCATGCATTATTTTGAAAAGAAAGAAAAGAATCTTGACTGCTTAGGACTTCAATAAGGTGTTTCCTTTTGTGACAGGTGGTGGAAGCTGAGTTTGCCAAGCTGTGGTCCAGTAGAAGCTACTACTTGTCACAGTCCCTTTCTGAAGACAAGGAATGTTGTGATGCTCCAGAAATGTTATTTTGGAATGACCTGTCACATGGAAAACAATGCCCTTTGCCAGATGCATATTGAAGAATTGGAGGAAGAGGGAACTCTATTATCTTAAAATGAAGCAGACTTGAAGGGGGAGAATCCTCGCTAACATTGTATAGATATTTTATGAAACCCTGAAAAAAATTAAACTCCTTTGAATAGAAATGCCAACTATGGGAGTTACATGGAAGGCAGAATCAATAAAAGTAGAACTATCCATGTTGGATGTTAAGAATGTAAGATCACTAGAACATCGATGCTGTATTAGTCATCCTCTTGCACAGGAAACATGCTAGGTGAGATAAAAAATAAAGGGCAAAAATTGCAATAAAGCAATCAGTCTTTGCAGGGTAGATTAGGAGAATGCAGAGTATTTAAAAGTGGAGTATCTCAAGAAAATAATATCACTTAAGTGGTATAATTTGTTAAAATCTCTTTAAAGGCATGACAAATACATACATACAGATACAGATAGATAGAGATATAGATATAGATATAGACAGTGGTGAAATCTAAAATTTGTTACTACCGGTTCTGTGGGCGTGGCTTGGGGGGGGTAATGTGACTGGGTGGGCATGGCCAATTTTTATTTTTATTTACTTTTAAAACCATTTTTTCTACAACCTCTTCAGCGAAGAGGTTATTAAAAAATGCTTTCAAAAGGCTCTGACGATCCCAGCTGAGTTGCCTGATGGTAGAGGCTTTTTTTCTTTTAAATGCCTCTGACAATCAGGCAACTCAGCTTGGATTGTCAGAGGCATTTAAAAGAAAAAAAAGCCTCTGACGATCAGGCAACTCAGCTTAGATCATCAGAGGCATTTAAAAGAAAAAAAGGCTTTTTTTCTTTTTCTCAGCTGGGCATGGGGGAGGCAGGGATTTTTTCTCAGCTGGGCAGGGATTTTTGCTACCGGTTCTGCGAACCACCCTCCTCCATCACTACCGGATCAGGCGATCTAGTCCGAACCGGGAGCATTTCATCCCTGGATATAGATATATGAGGATGAGCACATTGATGGCACATGTGTTGAAAAGAAGAAAAACAATGTTTTATGCTTATATTATGTATTTTGTGTTCTTCAGCCCATCAGCTGCTTCCAATAGTGTTTTGATGTGGTTTTGCTGACTCACTTGAGGACTCAAGTGGGAGTAGACATGAACTCTTTGTACTGCTGGTATTTTAAATTATTTTCTCCAGGAGAGGTCCCAGAAGGATAAATTGGGTCACATTATTTTTATGCCCTGGTTGGTTTCACATGTGAAATTCTACTCTACTGTCTTATATTCCATTCAAGAGCCCTCTCCTCCCCCACCCCAAAATATGTGAGTGAGAATGATTTTTCTGTTTGCTGGAGATACTACAGTGCTGTTTGCATTTTCCTTACCTCTGCGTTCTACTGATGCTATTTTCTGAGATCTGTGGCACTGCCAGAACTGCAAGTGAACCAATAAGGAATACAAGTCATGGGGGGATGTTGCATATGATGATTTATTTCTCAGCCTTCAAGAGCCATTAGAGCTGTGCCAATCTGTCCATGATGCATTACATCTGGTATAGATTGAAATTAAAATGCCAGTCTGGGTGTCATCAGCATATTCATGACAACATGTCCCAAACCATGGATAAATTTCTTCCAGCAGATCTACATAACTAGATCTGGAAGATAAGAGGGTTCCATGTAGAAATCTAGAAGAGAACTACAGATAAGAGAAACACTATTCCTGCAACACCTTCTGAAAGGTGTATTAGTGAGATAGGGAGTCTGATCATCTTTTTACTAAAACAGTGCCTTTTATTTTAGGCCAGACAATTAATTCAGAAAGATAAGAATATAATAGAAGTCTGAGAAGCCATCTTCTTCTGTGTTCCTCTGTGTCTGTCGAAGGCAGGGGTTCCCAACTCCCAAGCCATGGCCTGTTTGAAACCAGACCGCGTGAGGGATGGGCAAGTGTGTGTGCAAAGCTCCACTCACGCAAGCGGTGAGCCATTACGCTCGTGCACAAAGCTCTATTCGTGTGAGCCGGCTGCACTTATGTAGAGGGTGCGTGCGATCACGCATGAAGCTCCATTCACGCAAATAGAGCTTTGCACGCGAGCACTCCGTCATGCAAGTGGAGCTTCGGGTGTGAGCACAAGCACACTCTGCTCCCGCAAGTGGAGTTTCACACATGAGCACAATCTCCTTCCGGTCATGCGTGAAGCTCCATTCGCGTGAGCAGAGGGTGCTTGTGTTCACACCTGTGCGCCTGCCACTCACACACCGACCCCGCACCCTCAGCCAAAATGGAAACGTTGGGGACCACTGGTCTAAGGCATAAGTTCAGTTGCTCCCAGTCATATGAGTAATATTCTAAGACATACTGCTGTTAATACCAAAATCGTTGTTTGATCCTCATGATTAATAGTTGTTAAATAACGTGTTTATCTAATAATTTCAGTTCAATTTGTGTGTGTGTAAAATCTCCCAATTTGCTGATAGGAAATTCCATAATTTCAACTTTGCACTACATGATGAAGTGTTTCCTTTATTTGCCCCCAATCTCGCTTAGTTTGAAGGATGAAAAACTTCTCTTGGCAATTTGTTTCCACTGCTCTTATTTTTAGGAACGTTTTCCCTGACAATTCATTGGAAGCTTATTTCCTGTAACTTCAATCTATTTTCCCACCTTTTCCAAAGAACTCCTCTGCTAATGAAAATGGAAAATTGTTGTCCGCAACAATTTAGTTTAGTATTTTACAGATGCCTATCTTTTAAATTATTAATACAAGTATTAATTCAAGATTCAATCTTTCGCTACACTGCTGAGGAAGATGACATAGGGAGCCTTGATTGCCATTTCTGAGAGGTTTGATGCCTGAGTTAATTTGCAAGCATCCTAACCTTTCTTTTAAATTGAGGAAGAGGACTGCAGTTGAATACTCAAGGAAAAACATTGGTTTTCAGACATTATGTGGGAAGAGCATATACTATATACACTACAAATACACATTTTGTCATTGTGTATTGCAGAAATTAACGGGGGAGAGGGTTGTTAATTGCCACTTCTGGGAGATTTGATGCCTGAGGTAATTTGTAAGCATACCATTCCTTCTTTTAAATGAAGAGATTGAGCGTTGGTTCCTACCTGATACGCTCCTTCTCGGGCTGGTGGTCACGGCAGTCAGGATGGGAGGCGACACGGGTGCGAGTTGTTTAGGACCGAGTCTGCAGAGGAAACGAAGCCCCGCCTCCCTGCTCTACGCGTCGGTTTTGAGACGAGGAATCCTGTGCAGACTGGCGTGTCTAGAGGAAAAAAACATGAAGAGAGGTAAGTAAACCCTCCCCCCCAGCCTTCTCTCCAGAGGTTACCGCCAGCCCGGGGCGGCCAAAGGGAGGGGCTGACTGCCGTGACCACCAGCCCGAGAAGGAGCGTATCAGGTAGGAACCAACGCTCATTCTCCAGTCAGGGTGGTCACGGCAGTCAGGATGGGACATACCCAAGTCCTGTGTCCTGTCGGGAGGGAAAAGGCCGGCCCCGGTCCTAGGATGCCTGATGGACCTGCTGGAGCACTCTCCTGCCAAAGGCTGCATCCGAAGAGGCATAAGCATCCAGACGATAGTGACTGATGAAGGCGTTAGGAGAGGCCCACGTGGCCGCCCGGCAGATCTCTTCCACCGGGGCCCTGGTTGACCAGGCCGCCGAGGTTGCGGCGCTTCGTGTTGAGTGGGCCGTAATGCCCCGGGGAACCGGCAGAGCAAGTGAAATATAGGCTGTAGAGATGCATGCCCGAATCCATCGGCCCAAGGTCGCTGATGAGATCTTGGTCCCCAATGAAGAAGGAAGAAAGGAAACGAAGAAAGCATCCGTCCGCCTGATCGATGACGTACGAGCCAGATAGATCTTGATAGCACGGCGAACATCTAATTTATGCCAGTTCTCTTCCAAACGATGACGCGGTTGGGGACAAAAGTTTGGTAAGACTAATTCCTGGGACCTGTGGAACAAGGAGTTTACCTTCGGGATGAAGGAAGGGTCCAGTCTGAGGACCACCCTGTCCGGATAGAGCATACAGAGTTCCCTGCGGACCGATAGAGAAGTCATCTCTGAGATTCTTCGAGCGGAGGTGACCGCCACTAGGAAGGCAACTTTCAGAGAGAGAAGTCGAAGGGATACCTCCCTCAAGGGCTCGAAGGGAGCTTTCGTTAGGGCTGAGAGGACTCTAGGAAGGTCCCATGTAGGGAAACGACGTACCGGAGGTGGACGGACATTGGTGGCACCTCGTAAGAACTGGCGAACGAGCGGGTGACGAGATATTGGGTGCGTCGAGCCGCAGGAAAGAACCGAAGAAAGTGCCGCCACTTGACGTCGTAGGGTGTTAGGAGAGAGTTCCGCTAGAAACCCTTCATGAAGAAACTCTAAGACATGTTCCACCGAGGCCGAGGTCGGTAATATTTGACGCTTTTGACACCATGTAGAGAAAGACCGCCAGGTAGCCTCGTAAATCCTGGTAGTAGAGCCCCTCCTAGAAGCTTGTATGAGGTCGATGACCCCCGACGAAAGGGGAATGTCCCTCATAATGAGCCGCTCAGTCTCCACGCGGTTAAGCGAAGCCAGTGTGGATCCGGATGAGACAGGGATCCCTGCAGGAGAACCATCCGATCGTCCGGAATCTGCCAGGGCGGTTGAACCGAGAGAGCTCGTAGATCCGCGAACCAAGGGCGACGGCTCCAAAAGGGTGCAATCAGGACGAGCTCCGCCCGATCCTGAAGGAGCTTCCTGATGACTAGAGGAATGAGGGGAAGCGGAGGAAATGCATACAGGAGGAGATTTGACGGCCAAGTGCAGCGGAGAGCGTCTACTGCTTCGGCTCCTGGAGATGGGAACCTGGAGAAGAACCGAGGGGTCTGATGGTTGGACCCCGAGGCGAATAGGTCGATGGCCGGAAGACCGAATCGAACCACCAGTTCCTGAAAGAGATCCGGGTGGAGACTCCACTCCGCTGGATCGATCGTAGACCGGCTGAGGGCATCTGCTGTCCGATTCTCGATCCCGGAGATGTGTGCTGCTTTGATGGATGACAGATTGGTTTCCGACCAGGAGCCCAGCCTGTGAGCTTCGCGCATGAGAGCTCGGGACCGCGTCCCCCCTTGCCTGTTGACATGGGCTTTCGCCGAGACGTCCGTTAGGACGAGGACGTCCCGGCCCTGAACTAGGGTCTGGAAATGTTGCAGAGCGAGGAA